AACCAGCTTCAAACTCTTCCCACCGTGCCATGGCTCATCTTCTTCTCGGTTCGGGCCTCGTCTTGGGCCGTTGTGCGGGCCGTCGTGGTTTTGTTGTGGTTCGGCTCGATCACAGGCTTGTCAGTTGCCATTGCGGCCATTCTGGTTAGGGTTGGCGCGAGCCGGATCGGTACTACTCTCGGTCGTGCTCTCGGTTTCTTGGTTCTGCTGGTTCTCAAGCTGGGTCATATGGTTGGTAAGGCCTTGGATCGCGGCCATGAGTTGGGCCAAGGTTGGCTCGGCTGTGTCTCCCATTGATCCGGTTAAGTACCTGCAAAGAAGATGACAAAGTGTATGAATGTATTCTAAAAAGGCAAGTAAATAATGCGAAACCCGTTTAAGGGAATGACCGAATGAGAAAGATCGATTAAGGAAATGACCGTTGGAATGAAATAAATTGACAATTAATGTAACTGATATGCGATGTGATTTTTTTTTTTTGTAAAATTAACGTTGAAGACGAGATGAAAAGAAACTTAGACGAAATGCAATGATTCACGACAATGATAAGCGGCTAAATGCAATGAATAACACTATGCTTTAAACAATCAAACCAATATTTTTTTTTTTGAATAAAAGAGGCGAATCAAACAGACGAGAAACAAAGAACAATTTTTTTTTTTTTTTGAAAATGAAGTTCAAACAACATTACAGATAGATAAAACCTGATAGTTAGGAGCTTTGAAGCTCTGATACCAGATGATGCAGCCTCACAAACGGAGGTTACGTGGAGGATGGATGGCTCGAACCGGCCGTACGACACCTGTTGCGAGTCGGGTAGTAGTGAGCGTTGGAAGCGAAGCGATAAGCGGATCCAAGTGCTGGCCGTATGGCGCTTTTACTACGGACAAAGAGATGAACGAATGGATGCGAGAATGGAACGAAGTCACCACGAGCTGGATGGAAACAACTCGATACTGACGGAGCGAACAACTAGAAATCCCGGATTTCGAAGGTTGTTCAAGAGGAATTCTTTAAGAAGAATGCTTTTTGCTTTATTGATCAAGGGTGAAAATTTTACAAGGCTGTTAGGGGACTTATATACTTGTCCGATCAGCTATGCCCTTCTAGGGGTCTTGACATTTATTACAAAGATTCGACATCTAGCTAATTAAAACACAATCGGCGAAACAAATGCCCTACGCTACTTAAGGAAAGAAATCACACGACAAGTTCAAATAAGGAATCGTTAGTATCAAAGATAATTAAAATAAATCAAAACTTACCTTAGTGGGATAGAGCCGTTGGATCGCGCCGGATCGGGTGGAGCCTTAGTCTTCAATGTACGATATTCCAAAATAGGTAAGTGTCCGTTGCAAGTGTTCTTGGCGGGTTGGGCCGAGCTGGTCTCGGTCGTAGGGGGTTGGGCCGAGCTGGTCTCGGTCGTAGCGAGTTGGGCCGGGCTGGTCTTGAGCGGGCTAAGCTGCTAAGTCCACGTCGTCCTGAGCTAGAAAAGCTTTTACCGCGTCGTTGACGTTCTCTTGCAAGGTTCGGGCTCCTGATCGCGTCATGGGCTTGGACCTCATTGTGGGGATAGACCAAGGTGGAACGGCCGCGGGGATGTTGGGTTTGGGGGATGCATCATAACTTCTCTTCAAAAGTCGAGATTAAAGTGTCCATCTTGTTGTCGACTTCACGAAAGATTTGTTTGGTGTATTCCATGAGGCGATACATCAAGGCTTCTCCTTTGTCTTCTCGGTGGTTTGAGTGGGGACGGTGGTGGGACTGTGGCGAAGATGGTGGACGGATGTGATGAGGATGAGGGCGACTTTCTCCTCCATAAGCTTCCCAAGGTCGATACAAGATTGGATTGTATCGATTGTTGTGAGAAAGTGGCGGTTGATGGAATTAATGAGGCATGGGGATGTAATCTCCAACTTCTTCACGAGG